GTGCATGCCACGTTACTGAGTCTGAAGAGGAACATGACAGCCACTGGGGAATGTTATCCCCAAACTGCCAGGTAGCAGTTTTATGTTATTCTCTCTGTTCTGACTTGATTCCTGTCTTCTAGAGCAAAGACAGAAAAGCAAGACGATCCTACTGATGAGTGTTGTGGATGATACAGAAGAGGCTGGGATGCTAGAGGCAGCCAGCTCTTGTTTTAAAAGGACCAGAGAGAAAATAAGTTGAATGTTTGCTTCAGGAGGCTTTTTTGAAAGGGTTGATGACAACCGCATTTTACTTCCTTTCACTGCTCCTCCCCTCAAAATGGAGTAGAAAGGCTGATTCAAAACACAGTGGCTCATTACAATGTTTGGTGAGCAATGAAGTTATGTTAATGTGGGGCTTTTTAATTAAGTTGAAAGACTAAAATAAAATGCTCAATTCAAAAAAGAAAACTAATAGTTACATTTTTAAAAAGAGTACTCAATATCTTAGGAAGTAAATTAGTCAATATTAAACAAACTGTACAAATGGTAAAGTTTTAATAAGGTAATAGCATTGTACTTCATTTCTAATCATATTCACACTGCATAAATTCCCATAATATGTCAGATGAAGACTTCAACATTTTAGGTTCTGAACCAAGATAATAAAGGTTAGTTGTAAGTTTAGTATCTATCCACTTAATTGACAACTCAATTACAAAGAAGTGGTGCTGAAATCACCTGGGAGGCAATTAACTGCCGCCATACCATACAGATCACCACCACAGCGAGAAGACAGGGAGGGGAAATCAGCGTTGCTTTTAAAACAATTCAATGTGATTCATCAAATTAGGAGAATATTTTATTAGAACTGCTCTATTATTAAATTATTTTCCTACAGTTCAACTTTCCTTACAGCAGAATTCAACTAATGACGACATGTATTTTCACTAGTAAATCTATGGAATAAAGTGGCATAATTGCCTTTTTTCTGAAAATGATTTTCATTATATCTAGAGAACCAAAAGTAAAATTAGATGCTTGTCATTAACGTGAATCATGATATCTTGAATTTGGAAATAATAGAGGAGAAAATAAGTCCCTAATGGGTGTTACTCCATGTAGAAAAGCTCCCAGTTCCATAATTAACTCCTGTCCATTGGAAAATTGGTTTCAACAGTTATAAAGGCTCATTAACTTATACAGATTATTGTTTAAGAAGCAATAAAATTTGAAGTTTGGTTTAAATCAGGAATGCAAAATGACTTTGGGGCATATGTAAGAAAACTCATCTAATTCTATAGGTATAAAAGTAAGCTCATAATTTCTCAATGTTATTAATGCTTTGACACAATTAATGAGTAAGAGTCAGAATGGAAATTAAAAAGGGATAGATTAAAATATATAACCATGTAATAAATAAGAAAAAGATATGAAAGACTACTAATAGGAAAAAAAATCAAATTTTATCCCATAGTCCCACTCTCTCCTCTTTCTACCAAACTTCCAACATCTCTAAGCAAATAGTTAAACTGATTAATTTGAGTTTTATTTTCTTCCTCTGAGAAACTATCCTCTGGTGGATACACCCATAAAGTGTCCTATACAGAGTATAAGGAAGAATGTACAACCTACAGACTGCTGTAAAGAATAAGTGCGGTGGGAGTTACTAAGCAACAAGCACAGCGTACTGCACATAGCAAGCACACAGTAACTAGGGTGTAACTGTCAGTCTCAACAGCACCTTTCATTTGCATTGTACTTCCTCACGACTTCTTAAATTACACAAATCTTTATGGTTTACAGAATTCATTCTGGTTTCCAATATTTCTGGATGCCTGTAAAATTTGGGTAAGAACATACAAAAAAAAATGGTGATTCATCCAACAAATTCATAATCTCTGACTATGTAAATAAAGCATCCTTTTAGAGTAGCTGTGTTTATGCTTCTTAAATACAGCTAAAAAAATTAAGGTGTGTAACACACACTGCCCTGTAATTCATTCATTACTTTAACTTAAATTATTTGGTAATTATTGAAATTTTGTTCTACTCAAATTTGCAATTTTCAATATAGCCTTAGCTACTTCCTTTCAACTTTCTAAGGTTTACTGTTAAAACATAACCAAATGAGCATTCCTATTTTGGAATTAGATTAAAAACCTGTTCTTTATCTAATTCCATTATTAAAAAATAAATGCTTTTCTCATCAATAGAACGACTTAAGTGCAAAATAATATTTAAAAGCTTTATACCAATAAATAAATAAATAGAGCCCAACTTGGTGGCACACACCTTTAATCCCAGCACTTGGGAGGCAGAGGCAGGTAGATCTCTGTGAAGATTGAGGCCAGTCTGGTATACATGGTGAGTTGTAAGTTTGCTGAGGCTACAGAGACATCCTGTCTCAAAAAGATCAAATAAATAAATAAAAAGTAAAAACTGTTTCCTTTAATAGATATAATAAAATATACAATAAATGATTTATACTCCATAAGATTAAAGGTAATTAATAAGATGTGTGATGACAATAAAATTTCATTTCTTAAATAGCCACCATAGAAACTAGTGTTTCCAAGTATTCGTCAAGGAGACAAAATTTAACAGACATAAAGGAACTGTAATTCATAACACACATTGACCCACAAAGACCTGAGAAACAGGAGGTCAAAAAGAAGACTCAACTCCCAGGAAAAGGACAGGCTAACTGCTTGATTTACATATCCATGTCCCTTGAGTAGCATTCTTTATAGAGAGAAGGAACCGTTATTAAACTTCTGCCTTAACTGGTGATGAAATACCATTCAAAACTTTCTAGCTTCCTTTTCTTTGATTCTATCACAACACAATCTCAGTCTAGTCACTAATTTGGCTTCCTAAATTCTGAGATACATTATGAGTGAGTTGGATTTTCAATCTGAAAATTCTGATCACTAGGAAGAGTTACCGTCTCTATTCCAAAATAAACTGTCATTCTACTGTGCACATTCTAATGTATGCATCATTCTCCAGTTTCCTTTCATGTGGACTGGGTTCCTGAAGTCTGGGCATACATGAGTAAAAGCACACATTTAAGTTTCTTAAGTAGGAAACACCAGGATCTGGCACTCCCCCATCTCCTTTCTTCCCTTTTGTAATGCTGGAGATGTAACCTAGAGCCTTGCACATGCTAGGCAAGCCTGCCACCAGTTATATGCCCTGCCACCTGACACTTACTGTTTCTCATTGACAAATGTTACAATCGTCTTGACTTTCATTCCTCTGCCCTTACACTGTCCCTAAAAATAGAAAAGGGGAGGTGATAGTGGCAAGATTTTTGTTGTTGTTGTTATTCTATTGAAATACATTTGTTAAATCAAATTTAGGTAGATCCACTTAGAATGATTAATGAAAGTTGTGGATATAGTTCAGTGGTAGAGTACTTGCCTAGCAGGAGCAAAGTCCTGAGTTTAATTCCCAGCACAGCTGAATTAACAAAACACCACAATAGAAAACAAAGCTAATGAAGAAACCACCTAGGCTTTAAACCAAAATACAAGACACATGCTTACACAGCCTCATTTACATTAATGCTTTCTTTTTTCAAAAGAAAAAAATTAGAAAAACCTACGATTTTTAATTGTGCTGTAAGGAAAATTTATAAATAAAATTTCAACTTGCATCAGCCAGGAGCATGCCATATGTGTCTCAATTCTTCCAAAATTTCAAGAATTCAAGACACACCTAATTTGGTAGAGTGAGGCAGGCACAGTTGCATTTGAAGTGCATAAATATAAGGGCTTCAAATTATAAGTCAGACTTTTTCTCACTGGGTCAATGAAAAGTAATTGTGTTTATTACTCATGCACATAAAATAAAATAAAAAATATATCTTTAAAATATTTTATTGTTTTTATGTGCATGAGTGTATTGCCTGCATGCGAGTGCACCCCCGTTGTTCAATGCCACGATGGTCAGAAGGGAGCTTCGGATTCCCCTGGAACTGGAGTTAAGGACGGTTCATAGTCACCACGTGGGTGCTGGGAATCGAACCCGGGTCCTCTGCAAGAACAGTCCAGTGCTCTTAACCACTGAGCCATCTCTATAGCGCCCTTACTATTCATTTTAAAAATCTGTCAAAAAAGCTTGCACACTTGCAAGCTCAGGATTCAGAAGGCTGAGGCAATATGATCAGGAGTTCAAGACCATACTTGACTACACATAGTAAGACCCTGTCTCAAAAAACAAAAAGTTGTTCTTTCACACTCCAAAGCATTCTGCATCACAGGAGATAGTTTAGCCCTTCAACTGCGTCTGCTTAAAGTTTCGTTTACAATAAGAAAATATACATCAAACTCTCAGCTCGCATAACATAAAAAAAAGTCTACTGAGCCTAAATCCCCTGCGCTTAATTCTCTTAGGGTTGTGATGCCAAGAACTTGCACTCCAACTGAAATCGTCTAGCGATCTCCGTCTCCAGGAAACTGAAAGGCTGCAGAGCCACAGGAGGATTCTGCTGGGAGACTCGGGCTGCGGAAGGGGCGGGGGGGGGGGGGGGGGGGGGGGGGGGGGGGGGGGGGGGGGGGGGGGGCGGTGAGTCCCTCAGAGGAACAGCAGACTTTTAGAACGTTATCTAATACAAAACAGTTAGCTACTGGAGAAAACAGAGATTCGGCACGTCTTACAGACAACTTAAAGTGATGCAGACAAGGAAAAGTGTCAAGAGGACCATTAACCCTCCACAGCCAGCGACGAAGTAAAGGAGACAGAGCAAGGAAGGACCCCCCACCCCGAGACTAGGAATTGAAAGAAAAAAAAGTATTCGGCGTATGAGCTTGGCTTTGGTCCAGATCTCCTGTACTGGTAAATAGTCTGCAAGAAGAGAGGATCGAAGGTAGAATTGTGGAGAGCAGAGCGTTTGCAAGTGATCAGCCCGGCAGAAGAACATGTCGCCTCTCTCCCGTCCACCTCTAGCTCCTGTGACACTCGGGCAACACTCCGCCAAAGCCTACACCGCTAGAGGACAGCAAAAGGGGAAATACCTGAGTCCCAGGAATAGAACCTGTAGCAACAGGAGGAGGAGCCGCGGAAAATTGGAACCCGGGCAGGATCCTACTTGCTCTGGTCAAACCCCTACTCTCACCGGTGGGGCGGGGAACTTCCGCCCGGAGCAGGGATAGCGTCATTTCCGCCTAAGGTCTTGACCACTCTTCTCCGCTCTGGCGACGTTCCAACGTTCTGACTTCCTCTCTCAGGAGCCTTCTGTCTATGCTTAGCCTCCTACGTGGACTACACGACCCAGCATTCACCTCGGGAGGTTGATTTCCGGGTCAAAAGGTTTGCGCTCGCTGCATCACCATGGAAGCGCTCGGTTTGGTCACGTGGTGGCCCTGGTTACGCCGGCTGGCGGCTGTGGGGTCCGGGGCTCCGGCGGGGGCCATTTTGCCGGAGGTGCCTCCGGGAGTCTGAGGCCGCGGCGGCCCGGCAACTGGGTGGAGCGGTGCCTAGTCTTCCTCTGTAGCTCAGAGCCTGGGGAGGAGCTGGAAGGCTGGACTTCATCCAGCCCTCCCAAGACAGCAATGGTTCCCTGTAGTCCTTGCTACTTGACGACCCTCCATGGCGGCCGGGCCGCCCGAGCTCCTCCTGCTGCCGCCCCTAGCCGCTGCCGGTGCCTGTCGCCTGCAGAGCCGCAGTCGCCCTTCCGCCCCCGAGACTGATGGTTGTCCAGCGGCGGGCACCATGAGAGGCGAGAAGAACTACCACTGCCAGGGGGCTGCCGGGGACCACAGTTCCTGCCCCTCGACGCCGTCTCCTCTGGCCTCGACCCTCCTGTTGCCTGCGGAGACTGTCTCGAGTAGCTGGTCGGGGCCGGGACGGGGGCTGTCGGGAGGAGATGAGGAGGAGACTCGGCTTCTGCAGCTACTGCGCACCGCCCCGGATCCTTCCGAGGCCTTCCAGGCTTTGCAGGCTGCCTTGCCGCGGCGGGGCGGTCGGCTGGGCTTTCCGCGGCGCAAGGAAGCATTGTACCGGGCGCTGGGCCGGGTACTCGTGGAAGGCGGTAGCGAAGAGAAGAGACTCTGTTTGCAGCTGCTCTCCGACGTCCTCAGGGGTCAGGGGGAGGCTGGGCAGTTGGAAGAGGTCTTTAGTTTAGCGCTTCTGCCTCAGCTAGTCGTCTGCCTACGAGAAGAGAATTCGGCCCTGCGGAAAGATGCGCTGCAGATCCTGCACATCTGTCTGAAGCGCAGCTCCGGACAGGTGCTGAGAACGCTGATCCAAGGCCTGGAAAGTCCAGATGCCCGGCTTAGAGCTTCCACTGCATTATTGCTCCCTATCTTGCTTACTCCTGAGGATTTGCTGCTGGGCTTGGATCTCACCGAGGTCATCATATCTCTGGCCCGAAAGCTTGGCGATCAGGAGACGGAAGAAGAATCTGAGACAGCGTTCTCGACACTTCAACAGATTGGGGAGCGACTTGGCCAAGAGAGGTTTCAATCCTATATCTCTCGCTTGCCCTCTGCCCTGAGGAGACACTATAATCGCCGCCTGGAGTCCCAGTTTGGAAGTCAGGTTCCCTATTATTTGGAGCTGGAAGCCACTGAATTTCCTGAAGATCCTGCCCCCTGTGTAGTGACTCTTCCCAATAGCAACCTTAAATTTGGGATTATTCCTCAGGAACTGCATGCAAGATTGTTGGATCAGGACGACTATAAGAACAGGACTCAGGCTGTCGAAGAACTAAAACAGTTGCTGGGAAAATTTAACCCTAGTTCTACCCCGCACTCTAGTCTTGTTGGTTTCATTAGCTTGTTGTATAATTTGTTAGACGATTCCAATTTCAAAGTGGTGCATGGCACACTTCAGGTTCTGCATTTACTGGTTATTCGCCTTGGAGAGCAGGTCCAGCAGTTCTTGGGACCAGTTATAGCAGCTTCTGTGAAAGTGCTTGCCGACAACAAGTTGGTGATCAAACAGGAATACATGAAACTCTTCCTAAAGCTAATGAAAGAAGTACGTCCTCAGCAGGTGCTTTGCTTGCTCCTGGAAAATCTTAAACATAAGCATTCCAGAGTAAGAGAGGAGGTGGTGAACATTTGCATCTGCTCCCTCCTGACCTATCCCAGTGAGGATTTTGACTTACCCAAACTGTCCTTTGATCTTGCCCCAGCTCTTGTGGATAGCAAACGCAGGGTACGCCAAGCAGCACTCGAAGCCTTTGCTGTGTTGGCATCCTCCATGGGCTCAGGTAAAACCAACGTCCTTTTTAAAGCAGTAGATACCGTTGAATTGCAAGATAATGGAGACGGAGTGATGAATGCGGTGCAGGCCAGGTTGGCTAGAAAAACTCTCCCTCGGCTAACAGAACAGGGATTTGTGGAGTATGCAATACTCGTACCGTCTTCTGCCCAGGGTAGGTCAAGCCATTTGGCACATGGAGCAGATACGGACTGGCTTTTGTCTGGTAACAGAACTCAGAGTGCACACTGTTACTGTGGTGACCACACAAGGGATAGCATGCAGTTGTATGGATCTTACAGCCCAACTATCTGTACCCGAAGGGTATTAAGTGCTGGAAAAGGGAAAAATAAATTACCGTGGGAAAGTGAGCAGCCTGGAGTCATGGGAGAAAGCCAGCTCTCAGGTTCCAAGGATACAGAGCAGGTATGCTTCTCTGATTTTCTTGAGTAGAAAGTGAATTTAAAATGAGATAGGCCCTTGATGAGAGTTAGTTGAGGGTGGTTATTTTGAATTAATTTAAATGATGATGTGCTAGCCATTATAACAGCCCAGGTCACCGAAGTCCAGTTCATAGGCTTCCTTCTTGATTAAATTTGAGACCCTGTGAAGTGGACAATAACGATTTCGATGCTGGCCTATTATTTCAGCTTGTCAGTCACCTCATTCATACAACACTGCTTATCTGGCAGGAACCAGATAAAGAAGTACATTCTGGGAATGAAGATGAAATCGGGTCCATGTGGTTTGGGGAGAAGGTTATAAACTGGCAATTAACATGTTTGTTAAAGTTTCAGAATAGCCATATAAAGAGTCCTGTGGGAATACCAAAGGACGAAAAAATAATTCCACTAGCAAAATCAGGAAAGCCTTCAGAGATCTGAACTCAGAATCACCCCCCACCCCCAGCCATTAAAATTTACAGGTCTCCACTGGAGTTTGGAAAACAGTCAGTACTCAGCCCAGGCACTTCTTTGGATTTTCCAACTGTTAACAGGTTGTTGTATTTCCTCTGTGTTTTCTGAACCATTTGGTAGTACATTGGGCATGTCTTGACCTTTGCACAGTGTCTTGACATCTAAAGGAAAATTTTTCTTATAACCGTATTATGCTTCAGAATATTAATGGTAATTCAGTAATATATAATAGAACTTTTATTTAAATTTCTCCATTTGTCCCCAGAGTGTGTTTTCTATTTCTTGTACTTTTATCATCCAGGACACAGTCACGGTTAGTATCTGGTTTTGTGTTCCTGCTTGTTTGTGGTTTGGTTAGGTTTGGTTTTCCATGACATGGCCTTCCCCCCCGCCCCCCAAGAGTTTGGGGTAGGTATTTTGTAGACTGTCTAGCATTTTAAACTTATCTGATTGATTTCTTATGATTGGACTCACAATAAAACTTTTTAGCAAGTAAGTTTGGGTGATGGCTACTCTGCTGTACATATCAGCACTGTGGGTGATCCCTCTGTCGGCACTTTATCATTTCATTAATGGGACAGCCAGATCCATTATAAAGGGATGTTTATTTTCCCCTTATCTATAGGATGATATATTGAGACCCTATGGATAGCCAATCTTTTTACTCATTGTTTTTAAAATCCACTGAGGATTTTTTACTGTATTATATTGAGGCTACAAGAAAATATAATTAAAGAAAAAAACCATTTCTTCTGTATTTGTTACCTAAATTTCTTTTTCTATGTGTAATAGTTATATACATCTTAAATTTTTGGTACTAAAAAATGAAAGATTTTGAGGTTTATTTTATTTTTATGTGTATGTGTATCTGTCTCTGTGTGTGGCTGTGCACACATGTGCCCGAGGAGGCCAGGAGAGGACATGAGGATCCCCTGGAGCTGGAGTTATAGGTGTTTATAAGCTGCATGATGTTGCTTGGTGCTGGAACCCCAACTCCTGTCCTCAGCAGCATGTACTTTTAACCACTGAGCCATCTCCCCAGTCCCCCAGATTACATTTTTTTTGTGTTAAAATTGCCACATCTTTAATCAGTGGCTGGCTCCTGCGCTCTTTGGGCATGACTCTAGCCTTTCAGCACTTCTCTAATTTAAAGTATAAGACTTACTGGTTCTTTTCTTGCCTCACAGTTGGAATTAGCTTTTTTTTTTTAACCCAGAATCCCAATATTGCCAAAATAGTAGAGTGATTTTTAAATATCAAAATCTGGCTGGACATGGTAGTGTATACCTTTAATACCAGTGTTCTGGAGACAGATACAGGTAGATCTCTCTGAGTTCAAAGCCATCCTGGTCTACACTGGTAATTCCAGTCCAGCTAGGGCTACATAGTGAGATCCTTTCTCAAAAAACAAAGAACCCCCCCCCCAAACAAAAGCAACTCTGAATATAGATTTACCACTTGCTAATTCTTGCTAATCTAATCTTGCCATTGCAGATTAGATTGGCCCTTTCAGTAGAACTAAGGAGTATCTTTGTATTGTTTGTGGTGGTGGTGGTTGTTTTTGGAAAAACTGAGTTCTGGAAACTGAAGAGATGACTTAGCAGTTAAAAGCACAGGCTACTCTTCCAGAGCACCTGGTTTCGTTTCCCAGCACCCACATAACTCCAGTTCTGGGAGATTTGATGCCCTCTTCTGGCCTCTATGGGTTTGCATTCACATGATGCACTTAAAAACATGCACACGAAAACACTCTACACGTAAAAAATATTTTTTAAAAAACTTTTTAAAAACTAAGTTCCTATAAGAATTTCCAGCCAAATTTGGTGGTTGTTGAAACAACTTGTTTTAGTCCCATCTTTGGGTCTCCTTCTTACATATCAAGATCTTAACTTCCAACATCCTGTGCTGTATCCTACCATGCACAAAGTTACCAAAATATCTAGTAAATGAAGGTCAAGATTTCTTTATAGTTCTTTTTGTACTTGGAATTATTGCACAGAGTTTTATACTAAGACATTTCATAGGGATGGAGACATAGTACAGTGACGGGGTGCTTTTGTGGCACGCACAGACCCCAACTCCACAAAAAATGAAATAAAGGCAAAAAATCTAAAACAGCCAACAAAATCTTACAGTAAATTTTTTTGTTGGGATGATTGTGATTCAAACTGTGATAAAAGATTAAATGGGAGTTTGCTAAGTGTGAATGGGTCTTGATGTATTTCAGACTGAAACAGTAGTACGTTCCTCACTAACTTAGGAAAGGACATGGCAAATTAATAAGAATGAGGAGTTTTTGCATAGCTAACAGATGGGGTCTCATGGAATGTAGCAGATGCTAACAAAAATGAAGACTGGAAAGCTGGGTGTGGTGGCGTGTGCCTTTAATCCCAGCACCAGAGGCAGAAGCAGGCAGATCTCCATGAGTTCCAGGCCAGCCTGGTCTACATAGGGAGTTCCAGTCAGCTGGGGCTACAGGGAGACCCTGCTTCAAAAAAACAAAAACAAACAAACAAAAATAGACAGGAGTAAAGTATGGAGGTCATTTTTTGCAAACACTCCTTATGATGCATTAGTAGTCTAATAAACTTAGAAGTTGAAAATATTGTAAGTCAAAACACACTTATTTAAGCCTAACCTATTGGATATCATAGTTTAGCAGCCTAGAATACTCTAGAGTGTAGATTGTTTACCCTCATGATCCTTTTGCTAACTTGGAGTGCTCAGCATTGGAGAGGATTGTAGTAGGAATGGATCAAAATTCAAAACATGATTTCTATTGAATGTATATCATTCTTGCATCATAATAAAGTAAAAAAAGTTTTAGGATTTACAATGTATGTAATAACATTTCGCAATTTAAACTTTGGACAGTAGCACTTAAGCAGATGGAAGTGTCCTAAGAGTTCTTAGTGCTCATTCCAAAGGGTGTTGTTTGCTTGTAGCCATGCTGGTGATTGAACTCAGGACCTTGGGCGTGCTAGGTAGGCACTCCACTAGGCTACATCCCCAGCACTATCTTTTTTTTTGGTACTAGGGATTGAACTCAGGGCCTTGCCTGCTCTACCACTAAGCTAAATCCACAGCCCTCCAGTTCCCAAATCTGTAGGTTTTTTTTGGAAATACTTTTCAGATTTATTTATCTAGTTATATGATTTTCGTAACTTATTAAAAACATTACCTGGGTTGGAGAGATGGCTCAGTAGTTAAGAGCACTGGCTGCTTTTGCAGAGGACCTGGGTTCAGTTCCCAGCACCCACATGATGGCTTACAACCACCTATAACTCCAGTTCCAGGGAATCTGATACCCTCTTCTGACCTCCGTAGACATTGTACAACATGGGTGCACTTACATACATGCAGACAATACACTCATACACAAAATAAAATAAAATACTAAAATAAAATATACCAAACATTATCTGGCAATTATTAGTTTTCTGTAAACAGTGATCTTAAAACTGCTTGTTATGCTGGGCATGGTGGCTCAGGCCTTTAATCCCAGCACTCGGGAGGCAGAGGCAGGCGGATCTCTGTGAGTTCAAGGCCAGCCTGGTCTACAATAGTGAGTTCCAGGACAGCTAGGGCTACAGGGAGACCCTGTCTCAAAAAGACCAAAAAAAAAAAAAACCCCTGCTTGTTATATATGTAATCTTAAGATGTCAATGTATATATTAAGAAGATTATCTTCTGTGGCTATTGAAATGGCTCAGTAGTGAGCACTGACTGCTCTTGCAGGGAACCTGGGTTCAGTTCCCAGTGCCTATATGATGGCTAACAGCTGTCTGTAACTGTGGTCCTAGGGGATCCAAAGCCTTCTTCTGACCTCCTTGGGCATTGCATGACATGATGCACTTACATACATGCAGACAAAGCACTCATATACATAAATTAAAAAAAAATTTTTTTTTGAAAAGATCACCTGGCTGGGCGTGGTGGCGCATGCCTTTTAATCCCAGCACTTGGGAGGCAGAAGAATGTATTATCAGTTGTTAGTAGTCATCTGTCTGTGCCTGTTATATCCAGTTCATTCATAATGGTGTTGTCTTCAAGTGTCCTTTCTGATTTTCCTCCATGCTAGATCTCTCCATTTCTGATACAAGGGGATGAAGCTCCAGCTGTCATAGTGGATTCATCTATTTCCTGTATTTCCATCACTTGACATTTTTTTAGGGGCATGAGCATTAAAAATGGTTGCATTTCCTTGGAATACTGATCCCTTTATCATTTGATGCCCCTTGTTATCTCTAATAATTTGTTTTGCTCTGAAGTTCACTTTGAAATTAATATAGCTATGTCTGCATTCACTTGATTAGTATTAGCATGCTGTATCTTAATCTTATAACTTAATATGTATCCATTATAATATTTAAAGTTACTTTCTTATGGAAAACATAGGGGTTCAGTTTTGCTTTTAGATTTACCCTGACAACTTCAATTTATTTTTATTTTATTTTTATTTTGTGTGTGTGTGGTGTATGTATGTGATGTATGTGCATGTATGTGTAC